TTGGACTTTGGGCTTTAGAGCAACTGTTGGCATGTCCTGGGGGCAGGTGTGCTTGCTTTACAGGTGAAAACAGTAAAGTCCAGAGAAAATGAATGCAGGGGCCAAGGTCCCTCTGGGAGTGGGCTGCAGGGTGAGCGAGAATCTAGGAGTGAGCTTGTCCCCTGCATTGGAGCCCTCTGTCCACCTGCAAGGCTCATGCCTTGCTTGCAAGGGAGCCAAGGTTTGGGTTCTGTTGGGCAGGTGGGCAGGAGGGATGGGCCGCACAGGTGCTTTGGGCTGGGGTCCGTTGGAAAGCCCAGGAATACAGTATGTAACGCAATCAGACTGACTGCAGGGGACGGGGCTGGCTTCCGGCTGGGCTGAGATCGTCTTGCTTGTTTGAGGATGAGGAAATCGATGTTCAAGCAGATTCTGTGCAGAGGCCTGGCCCTGACACGGCTCCAGAACATGCTTTGTTGATGACGCCCCCACTCTCTGGGCCTGGCGAAGTCACACTGCTCAGTGCAGGGCAGGTGGCAGGATCCTGCCTGTTACCCAGCGCCTCCCCGCTTGCTTTCCAGTTGCCTTTTCTGCTGCAAGGTCTTTCATACACCTGCTCGAGTCCAGGTTTGCAGCCACACGGGGTGGCTTCTTGTTTTGGGGTCAGCAGCTCTAAAAGAGGCCTCCCAGGGCCTGCCAAAGTGATTTTCCTGGGAGGTCCCTTTAACAGTTGTCTGGCCCATGTTTTGAGTCAGGCTCTCCTTAACTTTCCTGCTACATTTGGCAAAGACTGTCCTTTCCATGGGATGAAGCCCATGCTTGCCTCTGACTTTGAGTTCCTGACACCATGCGGGCTGGGGCAGGATGGGCCTTAGGGGTCCAGGCTGAAGCTGTTCCCTCCCAGCATACCTGTGTGGATGTTGACACTCACCTGCTACCTGAGGCCCAGAAGCTGTGGTTCTCTGGGGACAGCCCCAGGTCTTGGGAAGAAGAAAGGGCTCTCCCTAAAGGCAGCATCCCAGTGTGCCTCCTTTCCCACCCCTGCACCTGCCCCAGCCTCTGGGCAGCCACTGTCACAGACCACATCCTCTTGCGGTGGCTGTGGTCAGAAATCTGGGTCTGGGCTGTTTCCTGGGGACCCTTGAGGGATGGGCTGGGTCTTCCCAGCGGGTGCAGCTGCAGCTCTGGCCCACTCAGGCTGCCCCTCACCTCCTCCCTGGATTGAGTGTGCCTGGATTCAGGCGGGGCCAGAGGAGTCCAGGTGCGGCTGTCCAGGTGGGCTCCCTGCTGAGGGTCCCTGGCTCCTCTGTGCCCTGCCCCAGCCCTTCTCTCGTGGATGTGCCCCTCTCCAGTCACTTCAGCCCTGCTTCCATGTCAGAGGGTGCCCCCTGCCTCCTGCTGATCGGTCTCCTGCCCACTCTCTATTCCACAGACCCCAGAGACTGCCTGCATCCAGGTCTTCTCAGCTCCTTGCTCCCCTCCACCCCAAACTCAAGCTGCTGGGCCTTTTCATCTCACTGTGTGCCTGGTGTGTGTGTGTGTGTGTGTGTGTGTGTGTGTGTGTGTGTGTCACAAAGTATCTGTCTGGGGATGTAACAAAGGTTTTGGAATTCTCAGAATCCTCAGAGTCAGGGTCTGGATCTGCAGCTTCTGAGCCCCCCTCTGGGGGGGGGTCCCCAGGAACCCTGAAGACCCCCGCTCCTCTGGTGATCCTGGGGGTGCAGTCCCACCCCACTCCCAGCTCTCCTCCAGCAAATGGAAAGGGAATTCTACTGCTTCTGTAGATGTCACAGACTCACCACGCTGGTGGGGACCTTCTAGCTCCTTCGACTGATGAAGAAACTGGAGCACAGAGAGGGAGAGTTTCTTTCCCAAGACACACAGCAACTTGGTGTAAAGACTGTGTTCTGGGACTTACCAGTACCAGTCAGAGACCTGGGAAGACCAGCCTTTTTTTGCACACGAGGTGGGGCCGGCCTGGAACTGAGGGGTGGGGGTGCTTTGGAACATTTCAGTGCTTTAACCTTTAAGGCTCCCAATCGGGCCGCCTGGAGTGCAGCCCCAAGAGGACAGTCCAATAGGGGGCAGCAGAGACCAGCAGTAGAAGGAGGCTAAACCACCAGAAAAGGCTGGAGCTCTGGAGGGGTTGGGGGTAGGCCAGGGAAAGACTCCAGCAGTGGGGGCAGGTGGGAGGATGCAGAGGCTGGACTCTGGTTCTGCATCTTCCCTGGCGCCCACCTCACCCCTGGAACCACCACCTGTGGGGGAGGCGAGTGAATTGAATCACTCCAGCGTAGGGTAGGATCCTGACCTGACTTACAGTTTTGATGTTCTATTCATCATGGAATTCTGCATTCATTGCGATTTCAAAAAATATTGCATTAGATATTATTTATCTTGATTACTGAGTTTTGGGCTCCCCTCCCTTAAATTTTACACGCAACGACAGTGCCTTACTCTGCTCCCACTAGTCCTGGCTGTGTCTGGAACTCGGGGAAACCTGTTGGGGGCGGGGGAGGTGAGGCGGGGGGCGGGGTTCTGGAGTGGGCGTGGTCAGCGCCCTGAGGTTCCAGCCTCAACTGACCAAGTGGGTTGACATTTGCATAGCGGAGCCCTGTTTTTATAGCGACCTATCTTGTTTATAAAAAGTTATTATAAAATAGATAATCACATAATAGCGACATCATTTTATTGCTGGACCATCTCTCCAGACACATCCTTTGATTTTCAGTGATTTTATAATATTCCCCCAAACACCCACCCAGATGTTTAGTTGTGTTGACAAATAGAGCTGACGGTTACTAACAGAAGCACATCTGAATAGTATCTTTGACAGTGAGGACTGGCTTTGCCAATTAGATTACACAGTGGGGCTTCTCCCTGGATTGAATGGTTCAAATCGGCAACACCAAGTTTTGGGGGAAAAATATACCTGAAGCACATGAGAAGATGAAAGCATGTTTCTCAAAAAAAATATTGTATTTGCGAAGATGCACGATGATTACAGATATTTTAATTTTTTTCCAATCTTTTAAACTCTATCATGCACAAGGGGTTGCTTAGTAACTTCCAGTCAAGTTCCTTGGTGCATATCCCTGATATGAACCTGGGAGAGTGGATGTCAAATGGCTGGGTGACACCTCTGTGCAGATGGCCTCCCACCCCCCCATCCCACCCACCCCCCCACAGCCGATTCTGGGATAGAGCCAGACTGCAGGAGGTTTACAGGGAGACTGTTTGGGACCAACCCATGTGCAAGCGATGGTGGGGGCGGGGGAAACAGGGTGGGCAGAGGGAGGAATCAGCTATAGCAGAGCTTTGCTGTTGGGATGGTCCTTCTCAGCTTCCCCAATGGGTCGAGAGGCTGGGTCTTCAGACCCTTACACTGATCAGCTTTCAGAGGCCAGCTGCCCAGGAGAGGACCATGGCTCGGCTTTTCATCAAGGGAGCTGACAGATGAGGGCAGGGCTGTCTATGGGCGAATTTCCTAGCAGATGGGGCAATAAGCCCTTCATTCCAGAAACGGTCTGGTGGTGCATCAAACTGTCTACCAGTTCAAATCCTCTCAAAGGCAGGTGGTTTCCAATTCTTTGCTTTCAGCAAAATTAAAAATATATGAAATAGAGCTGCCAGCTGATAGATCATTGAAAAAAATAATTTTTGACCATCAACCACTAGTGATTTTTGGCACATAATTAGGAAGAAGCTCAGATCTGTGAGCGAAATTCTATTACAAAACTTCTGTTTATGAGGTCAAGGTTTCTTTGAGTTTCATATAAAAATGAAAGCCAGAACAGAATAGATGCAGGACCCTGCTTCATTCTGGCAGGACATCGTATTCATCAGTGGATCCACAAATCACTATTTAATGATTATCTGTGTAAATTTTAATATGTTTATGTTGTTTTGATCACATACTGCTATGAATAATTAAGATGCCAACTCAATTTAATGCTCAAGGTCACAGGCTATGAAACTAAATTTTGGAATGTAAACAATGTATATTTTTAGGACAGAGATGTATGGCAGGATAATGAATAAAAGACTCAGGTGTAAAAATGTATGAGTAGATCAAATTCAATGAGGGGTGTGGAGTGAAAACAAAGTTCGAGATGAGGGAAGAAAGATGGAAAATTTCCAAATGTTAGAGAAGAATTTTAAAAAAGAGTGGGTTGGGGTGCCTGGGTGGCTTAGTCGTTAAGTGTCGGCCTTCGGCTCAGGTCATGATCCTAGGGTCCTGGGATCGAGCCCCGCATCGGGCTCTCTGCTTGGTGAGAAGCCTGCTTCTCCCTCTCCCACTCCCCCTGCTTGTGTTCCTTCTCTCACTTTGTCTCTCTCTAAATAAATAAAATCTTAAAAAAAAAAAAACAAAAAAATAAAAGAGTGGGCATCCAATCATGATGATACTCACTTCCATTCTCTATATATAGAAGAGCGTTGAGAACATTTTACAAGCTTCTGGTGAAAACTTTACATGTCTACTAACAAAGCAGCAGGGAATGTGAACTCCGATTCTTTTGGAGGGCTCCGCTGCAGGCCCTGTCCCCCTCCCCCAAGGAGGCTCTTCTCTAATGCATAAAGGTCCTGGGTCTCAGCGCAGGGTGATCACATAAACTAACAAGCAGGACCACCATGAGTCGGGGGGCAGCTAGGAGCTGTGCCCTTTCCTTCCAGTATCTTGACTCCTCCAATCACTCCTGAGAGAACTGAGTGAGGCGCTAAGCCTGGAGAGGGGACAAGGCAGTCCCAGGGCTCAGCTAGTAGGGGGACCTCTGGACCCACAGGGCACTGACGACAGCCTCTGTGACTCAAAAGAGACCCCCACCTGCCATTTCACAGCAGGGTAAACAGAGGCCCTGAGAGGGCAAAGAACCTGCTGGAGTGTCCCAACCCTGGAGGGTCAGAGCTGGGACCAGAGAGGATGCCTGGCCCTCAGGCCTACAGCTGCTCGGACAGCTGGTGAGAATGTCAGGCCGGGGTAGGAGGGTTTGTGTCTCACTTCCCCCATCTGCCTGTGTCACCGTGAGCATCAGCATTGCTGTCCCACACGTGACAGTAATAGTCAGCCTCGTCCTCAGCCCGGGCCCCGCTGATGGTCAGGGTGGCCGTGTTCCCTGAGTTGGTGCCTGAGAATCGGTCAGGGATCCCTGAGGGCCGCTTGCTATCAGCATAGATAATCGTCACGGGGGCCTGGCCTGGCTTCTGTTGGTACCAGTAAGCATTTTTGCTTCCAATGTTGTCTCCCCCACAGGTGATCCTGGCCGTCTGTCCCAGGCTCACTGACATCGAGCGGGGCTGAGTCAGCACATAGGCAGCCATGGAACCTGCAAGAGAGAAGATGAGAGGTGGGCTTCCAGCTGAGGGGACTCTGCCTTCCTGGCCTGGACTGAGCTCCAGGGGTTCTCTTGGCCCCCAGAGTTGCCCCCTTCCAGCAATCTCAGCCCAAGGGACCCATGGGCCTGGATAGACCTTTTGAACCAATGTGAGCCCCTGGCCCCTTTCTCTGGGCAGGTGCAGTCCCGTAGAGCTCACACAGAGCCAGTGAGCCCAATGGGTGGATTTACCCCTCTAGCCCCTCATCCTGCAGCAAGATGAAGAGATCCTGTCCCCCACTGGATCCCAATGAGCCTGGGCACAGTACCTGTGCAGTGAGCAAGGAGGCTGAGGAGGAGAGGGGTCCAGGCCATGGTGGAGGTGCCCCGATTCTGTTCCCAAGTCCCGAGGCTGGGCAAAGTTCCTCCCAGGCCTCTCTTATTCCCTTGCTGGACAGACCTTCTGGTTATGCAAATCAGCCAGGGCTCAGGGCCTGCTGCTGAGGAGCTTTGTGGGTTCAGAGAAGGAAGGGCTCAGCCCCAAGGGGCGTAGAGAGGGGAGAGTTGTCCCTTGCAGTTGCCACCCTCAGCCCAGGGAATCCTTCTTCTGGTGGTCACGTAGGTCTGGGGCTACAACTCCAGTTTTAGGCTGTGCCTTGGCCTAACTCCTGGGCTATTCTGACCACTGAGAAGCAGAGTCTGTTTGTTTTCCAGGGAACCTAAGTCCTGCTCACAGAATCCTCCTGGGTCCTGTCTGGGTCCGGTCATGAAGGTGGCCAGAGTCATGGTGGTGCTGCTGAGATTGTTCTGGGCCCCCAGATCTTTCCTCTGTTCCATTCTGGCTCAGGAAGGAGGTGGTTAATATCATCCAGGATTCCTAAGTGTCTCATCCATCCTTGTGTTGTGGTGGATGTCGCATGCTGGTCCCCTCCCAGCTCCACCTTCAGAACTTTCCATGCTGTGACTTGCAGGCCCCAGTGCAGTGACCCTCCTCATCCCCAGTCCAGGGAAACCCTGCATGCTTAGACAGGGGCTTCCAGGGAAACCCTGCGTGTTTAGACAGGAGCAGCATCCTACCGCAGATCACAGTTTGTGAGCTGTGAACACCAGCATCTGAGTAAAATTCCTCCCTTGCCAGCTGCACATGGGGGTTGTTAAAGGTCCATGGAGGTGCTGTAAGGGTCTGCTTTTGACCATGAGCTCCTGGACAGGCGGTAGGTGCCATTTCTCGGTATCTCTGATGTGTGGCTGGGGCAGGGACACATCATGTGCTCAAAAGATACGATCTGAGTATAAGAGAATGAAATTTGGTTGTGAATTGTAAGAATGCCTCATGCGAAATTAAAATTATATTTTTAATTTCAGTAGCTAGCAAAAAATGCATTAAGTAATAAAAATCGTTAATATAATTTATGAGGTTGAGCAATGGTTATTGAATAACTGCTGTGTCCTTGGAGTGGAAAAAGAAAAAGAAAAAAAATTGGCACCAGCCCTCTGGAGAGAGAGGGGGAAAGGAGGAACTCCTTGTAGCAGGACAGGAAGCTCTCAGCGCAAAGGGGGGTGGGGATGTGTGTTCTCAGAGGGAGGGGGGGTTTGTAGACTTTCGAGAGCTTTAGCACCACTGGGGTGCATGTAGGAGATCGAAGTCCCAAATCTGTGCCAGAGAAATGGGTAATTACTGCAAGATCTGGATCAGAATAAGAAGGAGCCGAGAGATTTTGTACATTAATGTCAAACATGATACTCAAGAAGGGAGATAGATACCTTTTCCTTGAGGTCTCAGGTCTTGGTAATTAACACCCCCTGCATGTTAGAACCCCTGATGCCAGGCCCACTCCATCACCAGGTGGCTAGCCAGGTGATCTCTGCTGTCCCCTGGGTCGTGGCAACAGCACAGGGAGTTCACGCCATGTGCTCTGGGATGCTGTATCCGCTTTCAGCCGGTCATGTGTTAGGCATGTGTGGTATTGCTTCCCCCCCGGTCAGGACTCATGGCTCTAGGAATTCGGGGTAGAAATGGGAGTGGCAGCACTCACTCACATCCCCAGTGAGCCACCAGCAAAATGTTCACTTCTCATCCCTGGTGCTTGGCTGTCTGCTTGACTGTGCCACACTGCTGTCTAAGAGTGCGTTGTGGCCCTTCCTGGCTCCTCCTTGCAGTGAGGCACCTGGAAAAGTAGGGGACCCTGGCTGCCGTGATTCCTGATGACTATCACGGGGGACTTGGCTATCTACTACCCATTTGGGGGAAGCAGGTGTGAGTATGGATTCAGCAGATCCCCTAATACTCCCTGGGACTGTGATTACAGCATAAATTCACCACAATCCAGTGCAGCAGGTCTGATAATGGACAGATCTTCCAGAATGAAGGTTTGGTCATCCCATCTGGTGGGGATGATGACCAGGTCAGGTCTTTGCTGAGGGAAGGGGAACATGGGGTGGGTAGGTCACTTCCTGACCACAGGTAGTGAAGAAATGAGCAGGATACAAGGACAAGTGTTTGTTCCTTATATTGACATGAATAAGTTTGGATATATATTAATCATATGCTTTTGTTTTATTCTCCTGTCTCATCCCATTATTGTCTAACATCAGATGTGTTAACAATAGTTAACTTTAAATCTCAATATAGAAGTTATAGGATATCAAATCAGCTGGGACAAAAACAACTATCACTACAAACAACAGTATAGTTTGATTCCTCTTGTGGGGAAAGGGTGAGCATGTTTCTAATTGTTCATTGGATAGTTTCATCGTATTGGGTGGAAGCGAGGTTACCAATATTCTCTTCATTTAGAGACTGTGGTTTGCCTGGATTGGGTGGATTTCATGTGGATGAGGGGTGGACTGTGGTGGCTTATTAAGTGTCAATGTTGACAAGCTGACTGTATCCACAGAATTGTCGTCTGTCCATGTTTCTGGGTAGGATGAGTGTAAAGAGAAATTCTCGTGCAAGATGTGGGGGGTAGAAGTGAGGAAGCATATCGTGTGTCTCACTCCCGTGGTTGAGTATCTTCTGGCCACTCTGGAGACAACTCTCCCAATGTCCCTCATTCACCATCAGGATGATGTGACTCTCCAACTGTCTGTCAGAACCCAGAGCACCCAGTGTGTCTGCATCTTTTTCATTGTTTAAAAACACAGGGAATGATCTGATCTGTTGGGGATTTTGACACACGTAATGGGGTTTGGGGGGGACAAACCAGAGCTTTGTGTGTTCACAGCGGTCTCCTCAGGTCCCTGAGGGCCCTGTCAGAGATGCCGGCCTTCCTGCATTGGGTTCCTGGAAGCAGACTCTGAGATGGAGAAGTGCATGTGCAGGAAATCTGGAAGGAGTTGGGGAGGTCAGACTGGGCAGAAGGAGATGGGACCCACAGTGAGACATCAGATGAGGCCTCCTTCCTGCAGGGAGCCCTAAAGCTGGGAACTTTCAGGACATCTGAACCTGAAGGAGGGTCTTGAGCTCTTGGACTCAGGCCATGATTCAAGAGAATCTCTCTGAGAAGGAGCATGAACCTGGGGAGACAGTTTTCTGAACCAAGAGCACTTCCCAGCAAGGAGCTCCCCTGTGAGCTGCCAGGGGCCTCAGACAAAATGGGTGTGTGCGTGAGCCCAGAGGAGGGGTGACCACAGTGGGTAATGCACTGGTCTGCTCCACTCAGAATCCCCAACTGCCATGCTGAGAAGGTTTCTGGAGCTCAGCTGAGGTGGAAAATTCTGGACTCTAATCCTGGTCAGTGAAGGAGTGGCCCATGACCACCATATGGAAATGCAGGGATAATGATCATAGATGGAGGTTTCTTTCTGTTTCCCCTTCTACCCAGGCCCTCTGTTCCCAAACATACTCAGGCCCAGACAATCTCAGGAGCCCCAAATCAACCCTGATACACCCTCTGCAGGTACTGCCTGAAGGTTGGGTCGCTTGGATCTGGGGATCTGGGTCAGAGCTGCTCCCTGCTTTGTGCACAGGCCTCCTGGGGCTGGAGGAGAGGGTGACACACATGGGGAAGGGGTATGTGTCTCACTTCCCCATCTGCCTGTGTCATTGTGAGCTTTAGCACTGCTGTCCCACACCCGACAGTAATAGTCAGCCTCGTCCTCGGCCCGGGCCCCGCGGATGGTCAGTGTGACCGTGTTCCCTGAGCTGGAGCCAGAGAATCGGTCAGGGATCCCAGAGGGCCGCTCAGTGTCCTTATAAATGACCATCATGGGGGCTTGGCCTGGCTTCTGCGGGTATCATTGTGCATAGTATTCGCTCAGTATCTCTCCAGAGCAGCTGATGGTAGCCGTCTGTCCCAGGGACACTGACACCGAGGGAGACTGAGTCAGCGCACTGGAGGCCACGGAGCCTGAAGAGACAGAAGAGGAGCGGTTGGTGTGAGGTTCAGGGGCTCATCCCAGGCACCCAGTACTGAGTCTGTGCTGGTCTAGCTCGTGGTTCCCTTCAGACCCCGCTCAGTCCTGATGCGGCTGAGTGTGTGGGCAGGCCTGGGGTCAGCACCTGTGCAGAGAGTGAGGACGGGGAGCAGGAGAGGGGTCCAGGCCATGGCGGATGTGCCCAGAGCTCTGCCTCCTGAGACCCACAGCACTGCTGGGCTCCACCCCGGCCTCTCTTATTCCCTTCCAGGCCCTTGGGACTGTGATTGTTAGGACTTATGCAGATTTCCTCCATATCTGGGGCTCCTACTTGATAAACCAGGGGTGAGATCAGAACACGTGACTGAGGAGGAAGAGGGGAGCCCCCAACTTCCTCCAACCAGCTTTCAGGTCGGACCACTAGCCTTTGTCTGCAGGGTGTGGGATCACAGGCACCTTCCGGGGATCAGACCACATGACCACCCTGCTTGCAGTCTGTGCTTGGCTCCCACTGTGGTCTTTCAGGAGCCTGGCCATGGGCTGGGCTGGGCCCTCTGAGAGTTACTGACGGCACTTGATACAGGGAAGGTGGTCCCGTGGCCTCATTACCTTCTTCGTCCTCCTGCGTGGCGTCCCCGCTGCGTCCCCCAGAGGCACTGTGGTCCCATGCTTCCCATGTCATTAGATTGTGGAACTTTCTCATTAGAATGTTTGTGCATCATTCTGTCTGTGGGAGTTCACTGGTTAACCCACCACCTGAGTTGGAGACTCATCACATCTTCTAGCCTATTGTCACGTGGTGTTTTTATTTCTGTGACACCCCGTATCCTACAACAGAAAATAGTCAACAATTTTCTTTTCTTTTTTTTTTATCAGTATTAGATACAATCATGCAAATTTCATGAGAAACCATCCCCGAGTTCAAAAACCACCATCAAGGTCCATGTCTTGTCGGGGTCCCCAGGGTTATGTCTTCCCACCTGGCAGGTGAGCTTTGGAGCCAGAGCCAGGGTCCCTGCCGGAGCTGGATCCTGTCACTGACGCATGGACAGCTCAGGGACCAGCGCTGTGACCTCAGGTAGTGAGAATCACGTCACTCTGGAGACAGTGTCACAAGGAGGCTGTGGATGCTCATTCCAGGCACCAGGGGCTCCGAGTGCTCCCCCTCCCAACCCCTGAGACCCTCTTGAACAAAGAGGCTATACCCTGGGACCGACTCCGCCTGGAGGTGGGAAACAGAGGCAGAAGGTGAGTGGTCAGGGTGTTCTCAACGGGCCCAGCTTGGACGAGTCCGCTCCTGGAACCCTGGTGCACAGTGCAGGGGGCTGCATTTCCCATGTGAGGTGTTCACTGTGTCAGTCCCGTCAGTGTCCTGGGGGTCACTGTGTGTCCTCCCCTCAGAACAAGGTCCCTGCAGCCTCTGGAGATAGGAGTGATCATCCCTACTTCCTACTGAGGACTGAGCCCTGGACCCCTGCTGACCTCCGGGCCGGGTGTCCCTGTGAGGCTCCCCCTGGGCAGCCCCAGCCTCTGTCCTGGGGCTTCTGATGCAGCCCTGCTGCCCCCTGCTGGTGGAGGAGGCTCAGACCAGGAGCTTCCCTCCTGCAGGTCCCTCCACAGCCCCTGTCACCTGAGGAGGGGTGTGGACCTGGGAGTCCTGCCTCCCACAGACAGCTGCCCTCCTGCCCAGCCCAGCCCAGCCCAGAAGGTCACATACACGGTGCAGGAGGGAGGACAGGTTCAATTCCTGTACTCATCCCAGGGTTGAAATGCCCTGGCCTAGCCCGCTGGCTTGTTTCAGAAAGGACAGTGCAGGGTCAAGTGTAGCGCATCTGAAAAGGGTTAATGGCCAGACAAACCTGTGTGATTCCACAGCCACCAGATCCTGTGTATTTAGGAATTAGGACTGATGCTTCCTGCTGCATCCCCATCAGAGCAACAGGTGATGCTTCTGGTGCTAAGTTCAGTTGAGCAGACAAACCTTTAGTTTTATTGTTATTTCTACTACTTTTTAATTTTTCCAGCCACATCTCCGGGAGTTTGGTGTGGGGGGATTTGTAAAAGTAGCCTAGTCTGTGGTTTGGTGAGATGCGGAATCTGCTCCTTCAGACTTGGATACAATTGCACATGATCCCAGTGTGGCTGAAACCTTTTCCCCGTGTACCCACCGGGGCGGACTGGAGACGCCAACACCAAGGGTAACTCACTGAGGCCCCACCGCGCCTGCCGAATTACTTAAACTCTTCAACATTTTGCATCATTTAATGCGAAAAAGGTGTGTCTTACATGAGTGTAAGCTTCCCCATTTCACAGCAGGTAAAGCTGAGGCCCAGAGAGGCTAGCTTCCCAGGAAAACAGCGGAGAGTGGGGCGAGTCCAGGAGCGCAGCCCAGACATGCTGCTTTCAGACTCAGGTCTCCTTGGTGTAGAAGGTGAGCACTATGGGAAGGAGGGAGGGTGAGGCCAGGCTGGGCAGCAGAGTTTCCGTTCCTGGGCTCACTGCCATCCCCATCCTGGCCTGGCCTATAAAGGAGCCCCTAAGCCTCCACGTGGGGAGAGTCAGCAGGGTTGTGTCTTGGATTAGAGCTGGAGAATCTGTGGGGACTTTGGAGGCTGTCTGGGGGTGCAGGGGCCTGGCCTGGGTCCTGCTGGCTCTGCTCTGTGTTATTGCTTTGTCCTCTCTGGACTCCAAGTTTGAGGGAATGACAGGGTTGTCGTGGCCACTCTACAGTATGTATCTAGTCCTGTAGCAGACACAAGGCCTGCAGGTTCAGGAGACTGTGGGGCTCATTCTCTGGGTCCCACGCCCTTAGCACCATCTGGGCTGAGCTCAGGCTTAGGGTCATATCAGGGTCCTGTGGGGGCTGAGCCTGTGGTCACAGCCTGGGGCAGCACCTGGGCAGGGAGTGAGGAGGGGGAACAGAAGAGGATCCAGGCCATGGTGGGGATCCCAGATTCTGTCTCTTGAGACCCCAGCTGAGCCTGGCCACACCAAGCGTCCCTCATCCCCTCACTGGTTCCTGTGGAAATGCTCCTTCTCAGGCTGATGGAGAGAATCTCTGCTTCTGTGCGGGCTTCATGGATCCGCTTCATGTGGAGCTGTGCTCCCCTTTGGGATCCATAGGGGGCTCTTGTCACTCTGTGTTTGCTACCCTAAAAACTGGGGGGATGGACAGGTGAGAGCATTTCTGTCGCTGTTCTCATGAAATGTGGCCTGTGATCATTTACTTCCATTTTTGTGAGTGTTTCAAATACGCATGACATGAAATACTCCATCCTGACCATTTTTCAGAGTTCAGTTCATCTGCCCAGATTCTCTGTTCTGTGGTATTTTTTACACGCCGAATTATGGAACAGAATCAATGGCAATATTGTCCTGATCTCGCACTTAGTATAATTTTATTTCGTGTAGGTTTCTTTCCTTGGGTGTTGCTGTTGAACTCAATTTGACAATATCTATCTCTTAATTGTGGGGTTTAGACCATTTCCTGACTGTGAATAGTAACACAGTTTATTAAATCCCATCTTGCTGTTTATTTTCTGTTCCTCCATGTCTTCTCTGTTCTCCTTTTCCATTTATCTCTTGGTTTTGAGTGACAGAATATTTTTTATGATCCATTCTATGTCTCTGTTTGGCTCATTAGCTGTAACTCCTTGCTGTACTGTCATCTGTGACTCATCACAGGCTACGTTCAGGTGACGCCACACCACGTGACAGAGAAATCATGACATTAGAGCTCACTTCCCGCTCTCTCTTCTTTCTCAGAGCTGTGGTAAGAAGGTCAGACCCATCACTGTTAGCTACGTGATAAATTCCAACATATGCTATGATTAGACATGCTCTAGACAATGATTTACTTTTCAGAGACATAAATAATCAAGAATTTCTGAATATTTATCCCTGTAGTTATCATTTCTGACTCTTACATGCATTTTGTAGATTCAGATTCTTCTGGAATCACTTCCTCGTGCCTGAGGGAAGTCCAGTGTTATTTCCTGCGTTATGGGTCTGCTGAAGATTAATTCTGTCAGTCTGGTATACTGAAAAAGTTTTTTATTTAGCGTTCATTACTGAAGGCTATTTTCCCTGGATAAAGAAATAAGGGGTTTCATTTTGTTTGTTTTTCTCAGTATTTTGAAGATGTTAATCCACTGGGCTCTGTGTGCATTTCTGCTCATGAGAAATCTGTCTGAATCCTTGTCACTGTTCCCCTGAACCAAGCGTCTTTCCTCTCTCGTGGCTTTTCACACTCTTTTTCTCTGCCTTAAACAATGCAACATTGATGGGGGTTTGTTTCCCCGCCCCCCATACGTCATTGCTTGTGGTTTCTAAAGAATTTGGAATCTGTAAGTTTTGAGTTTTCATGAATTTGGAAGATTTTTGGCCAATACTTCCTCATATTCTTTTCCCCCTCTCCACCCTCACTCCCTGGGTTCACAGTCACACGTGCATGACGTAGCTAACGTTGTCCTACACTCAGGCCTGCGCTACTCACTTGGCCTGGGCCCATTCACAACGTGTCTCTCCCACTGTCTCTGTCTCTCTGTGCATCACAGATAAATACACACATACATGAACATGACATCCATGTCCTATTGGATCCGCACCCTCTAGACATTCCTAAGTCTGTGCTTCAGTAACTATAATTCCTTGTGGTTAGAGTGATGTTATTTTAATGGTTTCTTGTGGATTTGCAGCCCTCACCTCGTACCTTATCCGAGTACCTCCCAGTGACCCAACATCGCTCACATGCAGGATGAGGACCTCATAACATGGTCTCATCTCGTCCATCATTTCTGTTCTCAGCGTCATGTGTTTTATTGTTCCTCCATTATAAATCAAACAGGTTGCTGTTGTTTTTGCTTTATGCACATGATTGTGTTTACAGACATTAACCACTAAAATTTGTTTTAGGTTTATCCATGTAGTTAAGATTTCCCAAGCTTATTATAGTTTGTGTCAACTCACATTTCCCTCTGTCACCCTTTCCTTCCGTCCGAGGGCCATCCTTCACTGTCGCCTGTGCTGAGGGTCTGGGGGTGAGCAGTTCTGGGGGGTTTGCAGTCTGAGATGGGTTAATTTTGTCTTTACTTTCAATGTCATTTTTGTCATTAAAGACCAAAGATGACAGATATTTCCTATTAGAATTTGAAGACACTGCTCTCCTTTTTTCCACTTTACATGGTTCATGATGAGAAAGGCGCTCCCAGCTCGACGCTGGTTTTTCTGTACAAAACAGGACTCTCCTCTCTGGCTGTGAGAGTATCTGCATCGCTGGTTTGTAGAAATTTCATACGATGTGCGCTGGGCTGTCTCCCACGTTCCCTGTGCCTGAGCTTCGTTGAGCTTCTTCCATATCTTGGTTCCTGGGTTTCTCCAAATTTGAAGGCTTTTTGTACATTATTTCTTTTATTTATTTATTTATTTAATTTTTTTATTCTTATGTGAATCCCCATACATTACATCATTAGTTTTAGATGAAGTGTTC